TATAACAAAGCTGAGAGTTTGAACGCGATAATCTCTAGAGCTACCAGTCGGATTTGAAACAATCTTTTTGCATTTGATAAAAAAAATTCTTGAGGAAGGTTATAGGGTCACGCTACAACCTACGAGCGCTAAGCAAATTATCAGCCTATGTCGATACATAAGTAAAGAAGAAAATGTTAATAACGTAATGGTGTACACAGTACACAGTGCAATGAGCACTATTACTAATGCGAGCCTTTAAATGATATACTTCACTACATAGTGTAAAACAAAGTCGTCCCGCTGTCTGTCTGTCCCTATGTATGCTTAGATCTTTAATTTTAACGTGACGGTATCATTATCGGTACATTGTTCTCTATGTGAATTTTAATAAGATGCAACTAACAGTTGCAACGCAGCTTCTAACTAATTCGAATGCAAATTCAAAATATTTTTATTCAAATAGACGCATGAAACGTCGAATATTAAATAATAATCAAAAAACAAATAATAATCATAAAAGTTGTCAACTGTTGAGCGACACGTAAAACGAAAGAGCAACAGTGACTACTGTTGAGAACAACAGTTGCTCTTTTCTTTAAAACAGCGGATTACAATATAACATAGGTATAACATTCTTATTTTAGCCTACGTGAGCATCAACAGTATACTTCTATACTGTTAATAAGCTTTGTTAATCATAGTCAGGTTTGATTTGGTCCAGAAAGACGACACTAATGGTGCAGTGGGTAGTGTACCTGCCCCCTTCGTCAGAGGGTGTGGGTTCGATCCCCAGTACTTGGATATTGTGTGATGAATATAATGTTTTTCTAGTGTCTAGTACATGTTTAACATGTATTTATCCACAAAAGAAAAGTATGTTTAAGTATGTTTACGGGACAACTATTTGTGCGACCCACAGATCGGACGGGTATCTCCGTTCCACGTACAAGAACAAAGCGATTCGCTTCTTCATTCCTCATCTGTACAGCTAAGGAATGGAATAGCCTGCCTGCGTCCGTCTTTCCGTCCGAATACAACGTTGGCGTCTTCAAGGCAAGAGTGAATAGGTTTCTACTGAGCTAGCGCGCTTACCATCAACGGCTACATCGCCACTTACCATCAGGTAGGATGGCAGTCAAGTGCTAGCCAGTTTTTGAATTAAAAAATTATTAAATCTCCGTCCAATGGACAGAGACAGCATCAAGCTGTGTTTAAAACCAGACGGAATTTTACAGCATTTTGTATTAACTGTGGTAGGGCCACGCGGCAGTGTTCACTGTTGCACAAATGGGCAGGTCCATCCGGTCCATGAAATGAACTCACAGAAGACCGGCGTTTGAAAGTAGATGTATTACACTTCTCCGTTTCGTCTAGTGAGTGAGGTGGCCGACACTTTATTAAAAGGTGACAGCGCGACTGCCAACCTACGGGTGTCGCAAATGTCCATGGGCGGCGTTCATCACTTAACATCGGGCCAACCGCCAGCTCGTTTGCCACTTTCTCACATAAAAAACCCAACTTAAACCCGTCTCAAAATAATGCGGTCTAATGATGTCTCCTTTATGCTTTTTGTCCAAATAAAAACATGAGGACAATACAATTGTCTGTGTATTATAGGTTAATGATAATGACTATGCGATGTCATTATATGCTTATTATGTTGGGTTGACTTTACTTGAAAATTTTTACAGGTTATTTAAATTCGTCATTGATGGATCAGACTTTAAGGTCGTTCAAGGTCAATTTCAATATCGTTTCATTCAGGGCTTGATACAAATGGTTTGAACCGTCCTAGCTCAGTTTACGGATGCTCGCTTTTTATTTAATACTAGCGACCCACCCCGGCTTCGCGCGGATGCAATGTATTATACATATAAACCTTCCTGTTGAATCACTCTATCTAGTAAAAAACTGCATTTAGATGCGTTGCGTAGTTTTAAAGATCTAAGCATACGTAGGGACAGACAGACAGCGGGACGACTTTGTTTTATGAGATCAAATAGCTTTGCTGGCGCCAATGTAATTGTTAATTACAATTTAGAGTACTGAATTATCACGTGTTCAGCGGTTAAAGAAAATTTCGTAAGGAAATCTGCATGCTTTCGAAATATTAACAAAAATATATCTCGACGATAATTACGTGAAGTTGCATATTTTCGAATAAGATGGGAACAAAAAACATTTTTTTGTTCCCGTCTAATTCCATTTTGCACGTTCCCTAATTATGACGATAATGAATATAAATTGGTATTACGTTTTTAATTATTGTATAAAGCAAGAGCATAAAAATCATCACAGATAATAAGCGAATGTTCGCTGCGTGTGTAGGAATTTTGGTACGTAGAAAATTCGAGGATACTTTAGTTTACAATCACGAGTCAATGTCCTAGACTCAAAGCCAGCACTGACCGCTTTTAAAGATTGAATGTGACAATCCTAAAAAGCATCACACTTTTATTTATACTCTGGACATGCCGTGCCTCTCTTAAAAGCACTTAGGTGACACTTATAGTTCATTCACACAAGGGTTAAAAGACTTTGACAACTTCAAAACCCTCGCTGACACCGCCTCCTCAATGCAGCAAACATCAAACGAACATCAAACATATATAACACTAAAATAAACCAATAAACACTAAACGAATCACTAACTTGGTTGAATAAAAAATAGTTTCTTGTTTTTATTTAATAATGTGCATGACTTGATAAGTATCCCTCGTGTATCACCAATGTATGTATCACCTAATCAGTGAGGTTATCTTAAAAATATGGTAAACCTTGGGTTACCTCATTCACCAACAACTTGGTAACTTCATGGGTGGACATGGTAATTTTTGTGTCGAGCTGGTCTATTCATAAAACATTAGAATCTGCTACATGATCACCACAGTTGGGTTCTCAGAGCCTATAGAAGTTAGACTAGTTAGTTGACTATGGTATCGCCGCACAATAGCTCTATTATAGGAATGGGCAGCTCTGTTCTGAAAAGGAGACCGGAGTGAATTGGAAGTGTTACTCTTTTGCGTTTTGTTTGCGAGTGAGGTAACAGGGGCCCAATTCTTTGCATGTCGTTTTCTCTGCCACCCCAAACGTGTTGTAGATGTCCACGGCCGATGGTAATCACCAGGTGAACCGTTTGCTCGCTCAGCAACTTTCACATAAAAAATACGCATATCACTCAAGCCTCTAATGATCTGTATTTTTTTAATAGCTCAATCATCATCATCATCATCATCAGCCGCAAGACGTCCACTGCTGAACATAGGCCTCCCCCTTAGAACGCCACAACGAACGACACTTTGCCATTTGCATCCACCGGTTCCCCGCGACTCTTATGATGTCGTCGGTCCACCTAGAGGGAGGCCTTCCAACGCTACGTATAATAGCTCAATAACTAACCTATATATGTTTTGCTTATAATATACCCCTTAGTTTGGTGTGGCTCCTGGCAAAGGCCTCTAAGAATTTCCACTGTTGATGGTCTGTATTAAAGGTTGATATTGTATGGTTTCGAGAAAATTAAACACCTAACGAAACTAACGAGAAACTAAATATGGCGGAGTGTGAGCTAATTAGACAGTTTCGGCGACGCTGATCGACAGGGAAAGCGCGGGAACCGGTCGCGGCCGGCGCGCATCACCGTGCGCTCACCACTCGGCTATCGCGGTCAAGTCTTTCACAATACGGTTTACGTCTCGACGGGATCGAAGATGAGCTAGTGTTTTCGACGCGTCAATCAAATCAAACGTGGCGTCCGTGTTATTTTTCCGTGTCTATTTTTTTATACAAGCGTACCTACACTGAATGAGTGTATGGAGAAATCAAAGTATGTACATTAACACCTTAAGCAGTCATACAAAGAGCTCGATGATGTTTTACCTTTCGCGATTATAACATAGATTGATGACTCCGTGGCGCAGTGGCCAAGGTATTGGCTTCGCCGTTGGGGGTCGTGAGTTCGATTCCCACACGGAACAGCTATTTGTGTCACCCACAGATAGATAGTTGTTTCGCATCTGGGTGGTTGTCCGCGTGAAATTTATGTTTGCAAAAACGTCCTTACAACACAGGATAAAGTTATCCGAAAGTAAGGGTTTTTTAAAGTGTATCCATTGTTTTTATTAAATTCTAGACATAAATAATGTTATATAAAAATGATAAATATTTGAAATTAATTAAATACATTCATTTGAACTTATCTCAAAAAGTGCGTGATTTACGGGCAACTCATTTATTTTACGCGTGATCATTCATAACTAACACGCACACAAGTTCGTTTCAAAAGTATACGACGCATTTATGAATAACTACCGCATTGTCAACAAGTTTAATGGCAATTTTTTTTGAAAAAAAAAAAAAGTTTGTTTTTTATTTCAATAAACGATTAAACTACCGACTCTGAATCTCATGTGTGAATTTAGGCACCTTTAGATAAGCCACCGTGTATAAGTTAATGTGACAAATGATATAGAACGTATGATACGGAAAGAGATAGCCGTATATAAAATTGTAATCTTATTTAATACACCAATTGGCGTAATTTGACTGCCTCAGTTTCAGCGCGCTAGTATGATAATATAGTGTATATAATATCATTTTTTGTAAGTATCAAATATAATTAAATTAGCTAATTAAACTGATGGTGATATGGTACGAGATAATTGTGATAAAAGTGTTACGATAATCGTCCATGTGTGAATAAATATACAGTTATGGTCATAAGAATGCAACGAGTTAATTCAGACTGCAATTTTAAAGAATGCATTAATGGATTAGAAAGCAGACTGACTTATAGCTTTTATCTTTATTGATGTATTTGCTTCTTAAATCAGAATGTGTAATAACTTACTTAGCTCTAGACATCGGGTATTTGTTGCGATAGTACTAATCTATCTTATCCTTCCTACAACTGCATTAAGTTTCTACTTAATATTTTTTTGTATTGTTACACTATTTATTTTATTATTCCTGACATTACAAATGTGCAATATACGAACTTCAAACAGCGACACGGTCAAATGTCACACGTAATCTTGCAAACAACCGCCATATTGCTCGCGCCATATTGCCCGCGCGCTCTTTTCCCGCCAACTGCAACGGAGCGGAGGCAAAAGCGCTCGCCCGCTCGGCCCTCGGAGAACTTTTCACCGCCGTCTCTCGCAATCGGACCTCACGTAATCGACGCGAGGAAGCCGCTGTATGTCACTAGGTAAGTTGCATCACTAATGCCGCAACCGAACCCCGTAAACTCGGAACGCGCCGCGCCCGCCCGCACGCGACCTAAGGCCGAACTCTCGAGTGTGCGTCTCACATTAAATAAAAGAATGTCACGGCTCCCGCTGCTCAACGCGAAAGTTTCGCGCCATTTTTTATAAGTGAAAATTTGTAATGTTTTTATTGCTTACTAGCGACCCGCCCCGGCTTCGCGCGGGTGCAATGTATTAATTATACATGTAAACCATCCTCTTGAATGACTCTATCTAGTAAAAAAACGCATCAAGATCCGTTGGGTAGTTTTAAAGATCTAAGCATACATAGGCGACAGACAGACAGCGAGATGACTTTGTGTTTTATACTATGTAGTGACTATCAAAATGGCTCGTGCTCGACTAACTATCTCAACTGACAGTATGCACAGATGTGATCATAGATGGATCCTCTAAACGCATGTACAAAACTCTCATAATTTACTCGGACAGGAAAACTCATGTCTGCAAAAGGTTTCACTCCTGCTTTGGACTGAAACATTCATTTGTACGTTGCACGAATAGGCCGGCGTGAAGCGGTTAGTTCTGCGTTTCGTCTGGTGAGTGAGGTAGCCGGGGCCCACTTTATTAAAACGTGGCAACGCATCTGCAACCCTACGGGTGTTCCAAATGTCAATGGGCAGCGGTTATTTATTAAAATCAGGTGAACCGCCAGTTCACTTGCCATCTTTTTGCATTAAAAAAATGTATGCATTTATGATATGGAAAATGAACAGTTAATGTTTAATTTAACTTCAATTACCGATTCGGATACTTATTCAAATTACATAGTTTAATGTAAATATAACGTAATGTTAAAAAGTATGTTATGAATGTATATTTAACCGTTTCGTTACGTTTTTAACGGCAATCTTTATATAACACATTAAAAAACGACAATTAAAGCCACTAGAAGTGTGCAAACAAAGCTTTCATATCATAATACGCCAGAAAGGCTGTAACGTTGCGCTACTGAACTATACATACCGCGTATAAGACGTGTGACGTACATACATCAAGAGAGAAATAATGTATAATGCTGCTCGTCATGCTCCGGGCTAAAAGCTCGTTATAGAAAATGTTAGATTAGATTACATGAGTTTACATGAACTATAATGGTGGCCCAGTGGTCGAAATTCGACCATAATTAATTAGATGTATAATATCTGTAATGATTTTTTTTATTGAATTAATGTATTTTTATGCATAATAAAAAAAAAATATTAGCATTCTCCACTCCTTCTCTATATGAGCTATAATTGTGGGAAATTTCATACACCTCGTATGAAAATGAAAATCTAATTTTCGTTAAAATGGGTACAAAGTTTTTGCTTCACGTATAACATAATAGAAGATGCTACACATTGTTAAATAAAACTAATTTTAACGGAGATTTTGGGTTTCTGTTTGATCTTGAATCTGTCCCGTGAACATGAACCCAGTAAAAGTTGGAAACGTCGGGAATTAAATTAAAAAGTAATCTCGAAAAAATGCGTAAAATAAGTTTTATATAGTCTATCATTGTTTAAACATAAAAAATGCGTAAAATAACTTTTATATAGTACACGAGTCATCATCGTTTAAACATTGTGCGTCTACCATAGATTCTAGTTTAGATTCAACTGAATGTGGGTTAGAGAACGTACATTCGAGAGGTGGAACAAACACCTTGGGCTGTAATCGTTAGGCCGCAATATGTACAGCCCAGCGTTTTTATTTCATATATCCTAAATTGCATACATATTAAAACATATACAAATTGCGAAATCAATGTCTTCAGGCGTTCTCTCTAAGCTAACCTCGATCGGAATTGAAATTGGATTGGTGTTTTCCTTTCTTTTGGATTCACAAATTGAAGTGGCAATAGGCAGGCCACATCGCTCGAAGAACTGGTCTCCGATGGGAGGAAAAGTTCTAGATTGGAGACCATGCAGCGGAAGACCTTGGAATCATCCTTGTATTCCCCAGCTTTGGCCCCAAAATATCATTTAATTTCCAACTAAGCGTCACTGTGATGCATATTTGAAACACATTTCAATTAATTAATATAGATAGATTTAATCTTGTAAATATTAGATCAGTAAAGAGTGTAGATTAAAGATTAAAAAAAAAATTCAATGTTGTATACCAATTATGGCTGTGTGTGGTCTTTCGGTCTTATCTTCTTTAGAATCCAAAATGATGTGCATCAATGATTTTCCTATTTACAATTTCTCGCGTGCAAAGAGAACAGTTTCACTTTTGTGAAAGCAGTGTTGCCATTATGGTATTTTTTTAATTGGCTGCTATAATTGTGGTAGGGGCACAGCATCCGCTATTCCACGTATGGGTAAGCTCGTGCGGGGATGAAGCAAAGTCTAATAGAAACGACTTTATCGACGGAAAACGGAGGTTCTCAATTCGACAATATTTTTTTTATGTTTGTTACCTCAGAACTTTCGACCGGATGAACCGTTTTTGATGATTCTTTTTTTTATTCGAAAGCTGGTGCTCCCCATGGGGTCCCATATTAGTTTCATTGCTATTGGATCTTGGGCTCCGGAGATACGTAGGGAACTCCTGAAAATCAATTATAAAATGAATACAGAGCGAGATATTTGAAGTCTGTATTGTTTTTCGTTAGTGAAAAAATTGTCAGGTTAACAACTTATATGCAACTTGTCGGGGTTTTAGACGTCCATGGGCGGCAGTATTTACTTAACATGGGGTGAACCGCTTGTTGAAAAGTTGTCGAGCGAACAGGTTAAGTGATTGTAGGCCGTCGGCAAAACCTGCGGGGTTGCAGATGCCTTGCCAACCGTTGAACATGTGCGGCTCGGTTGTCTCACTCACCAAAACCAGAAATTATAATTATCCTACACGCACATTATTATAAGTTCGTTTTTAAACAGAAATTGCATAGAAACATAAAATTAACGGAAAATGTCCCTACAATTTTATAAACTTGTGCTACGGAGACATCTTTTCGGAAAGAAACAGAGATTGTACACAGTTAAGAAAATAAATGATTATTTTATCTAAGAAACCGAGGAAGAATAAAAGAGAAGTGATACTGTGTATGGCTACTTGATTTTTTTATTTTTTATGTGAGACAGTGGCAAGCTCGGTTCACCTGATGTTAAGTAACAAACGCCGCCCATGGACTTTTGTAACACCCGTAGGGTAATATATGCGTTGCCACTTTAAATAAAGTGGGCCCCGGCAAACCTCACTCACCAGACGAAACAGAAGTGTAACATTTCTACTTTAAGCCGGTCTTCTGTGAAATCGCAGTACTTACCCGGATGGACCTGCCCATTCGCGTGGCCCTATGCCCTACGCTAAATTTAATCAAAAATGGATTTCGTTCCCGAAATATTGAGTATTTCGTTCCCGAAGTACTTAACATGCCACATCCACGATCTTTGTTTATGGGTACTAGTAACTATAATTACACCTGTCCTTGATATGACAACCTTGGTCCGCGGATTGTTTGCCCAACAGCCTTCACGCGCCGTTTGATTCAACGGAACGGTGTTATTTAACCGTTAAAATATACGTTACCAATCGCGGGAAACTGCTATTGTAGTAATTTTAGCTCTTTTCATTCATCATCATCATCATTTCAGCCTGTTTGAGTCCACTGCTGAACATAGGCCTCGACCTAGCTCTTTTCATTACACAGCAAGAATTCGTCGTTTCTTTTTATTATTGTACCGACGAGCCACAATAATAAAAAGTAGTACTTTCTTTACGCAGAAAGTACGCCGGCCGTAATCTAATTGATTTTGGTCGTTTTCATTAAAGCATCCAATAAACAGTGCTTATAAACCGGTTAACGCGAGATCGATACAAAAACAAAAAGCTATTATAAAGGATGGCAACTTTTTTTTCGTCATCTGCAAACAGCCGCCATTTTGAAACTTTCGCGCTCAAAAGCGACCGACTGCGTCTGGGTAATTACTTTCTTTAACGACGCGAAATGGAAATCGACGTCAGATGAATCATCAGCAAAGATTATTTTAATGCCGCGAAAAATTTTCTTATTCTTTACAAAGTAGAGGTTGTATTTCAGATCTAATGTTGCTGTACTAAAATATTTTATCATATTATATCCAATAGTTACAACATTAAATCTAACTAAATTACATATTATCTAACAAGCCTATTCTATCAAGCTGAATTTGATCGCTGAATAGATATGTTTAAACTTTAAGCGAGAAAACAACTAGCCCTCTGGTCACCAGCCGCGGTGATAAGTCTCGGATATCTAGGATACTGGATACCTATATAAAGATTTTATCAATTGAAACTATTTTTATGTAGTCTCCTAAATTTTCGAATAATTTACAGCATTCATGGCCAGGGGTTAGTCCATGTGATAAATACGTACATATAAGAAAATATTTAAATGTACTCTAAACTATTATATAATAAATATCTACCTTATCGGATCCCCAAGAGAATTGCGTGGTCCATGATCAGCAATGGTTCGTAAATGATCTTTAATCGGCCGTTAATTTTAATTCCTGCTTTACGTGTCCATTAAATTCATAACAAACAGATCGTTTTCTGGTGAGATGGATATGATGAATCATTTTTACTCTAAGAGCCCTTGACCGATAAGTTTACGTTATGTTATATAAGCTGAGAGTTTCTCAGAAAATTCCCAACACATATAGGAAAGATGGTCTACTAGGAAGTTTGGATTATTATTTGGCACGTAATAAAGGTGTGTAATATAGCAACTTAAATTCGTTTATGTAAATACGAGTATATCAGGACAGGACACATTTTTACACACAAGTTCTCTCATCACAAATTAAGCAACACTTGTACTATGGGTATTAGATAACTGATAAACATAGTTGAACACACTTTTCTTTTGTAAGTAAGGACATATTATAAAAACACCATGTATAAAATACAATATTTATGCAATAGTGGGGATTGAACCCACACCCTCTGGCGCCAGAGGCAGTTTTCCTACCCATTAGACCAATCGGGCTAAAAAGTATAAACGGCTCTGCTTGTTTTGGAAACTACATTTGAAAGTAAAATTATACAAAGTACATTTAAACATCCTGTATTTGTATCATTGATTTGGTCCAGTGAAAACATTTTTTTTTTTTTTATGCGAAAAGTTGTCAAACGAGCAGACGGTTCACCTGATGTTAAGTGAATACCGTCGCCCATAGACATCTGTTACACCCCAGGGTTACAGATGCGTTGGCAACCAAAATTGGGCTCCGGCTACCTCACTCACCAGACGAAACGCGAAAGTATTTGTGATACTTCCACTTTACGCTGGTCTTCTGTGAGGTCGTGGTACTTACCCGGACGGGCCTGCCCATTCGTGCAACAGCCGAGGCTGCTACGGGGCCCTACCACCGTAAATTTCCAAAAAAAATTCCAATTTGTAGACTCAATAGACGCGGAATGTTACTGCCCAGTTGAATGAGTTCTTACATCCGCTTCAATGACTTCAAGCGATGACATTCTCTTTCAGTCATTTGGGAATACGATGGACATATATTTTAACAACGTAGTTACTTTAAAACCTCTCTGATTAGCTAATGAATAGTTAAAAATAATTTGATGAAATTAGGTCTCTAGATAAGTAATATGATAATAAGTAACGATCGGCAGTTATATTGTTTACGTAATATACATTCTGAGGTTATGTGAGCGTTGTGTAATTGTTACACTTAACATCTTCATTAGATAGGGACGGACTTCTTGCGAAGTATTCGTTATGAGAGGTCGTGACTTTGAGTTGTAGTGACTTGGGAAATTACGTGCGAAAATCACTGAATTTGTTTCCGGTGTGCTGTCACGGTAAACACCAATCGAGACTGTCTGTTTGTCACTGGGACTAAATAATCTTTTGAATGTTGCTAGCCTAGTTCTCTCTATATATTAGCCAGTATACGTATAATTTAAAATTTAACAGTGACCTTTCGCACGTGCTATTGGTTAAACTGCAATAATCATATACAATATCAACTTCTTTCAAGTTAAATATTTATAACGTCCTAAACTATAATAGTTAAAAAACAGTTAACAGTGTAAGGATATCGGATATGTAGCGTATAGCTTAATTAGTACCATTAAAATTCGCCGCGTTCGTAATTAAGGTCCCAATATCACAGCTACGGCAGGCTTCCATATAATGAGGAATTTAAAAACAACACGATAAAATCCATAAAATTCACTCGATATAATCAAACATCTTTTTTTTATGTGAAAATTTGCCAAGCGAGCAGACGGTTCGCCTGATGTTAAGTGAATTCGGCCGCCCACGGACATCTGCTACACCCGAGGGTTCCAGATGCGTTGACAACCTTTGGAAAATTGGGCTTTCATTAACAACATCTTTAAATTGTTGACGAAAAAAGCGTACTTTTATTCTAGTTTGTATTTCTGGCAATAACTAATCTTGTACATTAAAACCGCATTGGTAATATACTGAGAGGACAGCGAACGAAAAAGTCCTGAACCGATGTCCTCACTGGCACAGTTTGTAGTTCTACAATCAAATCTAATTACATAAATAAGACATCAATGTGGTCGAAAAGATTCGTCGACCGTGTAAGAAATCCGATATCTGCCCACCCCAGTGACAAGTTTAACCTTTCACATATTGATATTGCTTTATGATATCGGGAAGAAAGGTTGTCGTGTGGCAGCCTCAGGGTCTTGCTTTGTGGCAATCTGTGGGGGAGACCTAGGTTCAGGAGCGGGATCAAACTGGCTGAAATAGTGGTAATCATGATTATGATAATGATATTGATATTTAAATACCCTATCTATTCGTGTTTAATGAACTCAATGGAGCATGACGTGTCTACTTAGAGGTCGCCTTAGCGAGATCAAGGCCCTAGGAAAATTAGCCTCGTTTCTGGGGAATTTTCACATTAGTCACATTTCATAACTTTTAACGCTTGACATCGTAATATTTCGCTAGAAACGACCTTCGCCCGCCGGGCTTTTCCAGAAATATTATAATAGTCAGCACTAG